ATTATTAATAAGCTTGTTAAGGTCCTCTTTTGTAGGTTTTTCATAAGTAAAACTCGCCTAAAAATAGAGGTTATTATCATTAAGCTTATAAAAAAATGAAAACAAAAAATTTTACCTTTTTTCGCGGTTTCTTAAAAGGTGGTTCCATTTTTTTAAAAAAATTAACTGGTAGAAACGAAAAGAAAAGAATGTAAATTAAATGGCAAAAGAGAATGGTAATTTTAAAAAAAAAATTGTATTAATAATCGACATCATAAAACCACACGATAATATCGTTATTGTGCTTTGCGTTGATAAATAATCAAAATTATTGATATATGGGCCGGTCAACCGGTCAATATAACCGGTCGGTCGGTCAAAGGCCCCTAGACGATACGATATTGTGTTAAATATGTGGACGCGGACGATCACGTGATTTTGAGAAAATCTAACCAAATCGATTTTGACGATCGTTGCGAAAAAATAATGATTTTACAAAAACGGTCTTTATAACATAGAACGAAATTTTTGCAATCATATAACACTATTATATTATTAATCAAAAACACTCGTTTTCTAAAAGGTTAGACCTGTGTCCATTTTATTATCACGAAATCTCAAGATCACAATGAGTGTAAGTGTAATTTTCATAGAATTTAGTATAAAATCTGACCTTGTTATTACAAAACTTTTGTACTTCATATAGTCTTTATTTTGTGATAACTTGCTACACTATTAAATAGTAATAGGAAACACCTTTGAAAGATTTATTATTTTGTTTCTTCCAGGTAAAATTGAATCAATCTTTGTCCAATCTACCAATCATTAATTCCGGCCTACATTATAGATCATTTTTTCTTGAATGGATTTCCCAAACGGTAAATTTAGTGACACAAATTTTTTCCTTGGTTAATTTGTTATCTTACAATTTACCATGGCTATAATTTAAGATAATTCCTTCCATGTATTGTTTGTTTAATAAATGTGCTAGAAAATGATCAATTATAGCGGCGAAGTAACCAATTTGTTACATAATATAATTATTTTTTTTTCTGATTTTCATATTTCATAAATCTGCACTATTATTATAATCGTAATAGAAGAATCAGCCCATCCCAATCAAAAATTTAATGATGAATAAATGTGTGTAAAAGTTTCATTCATTTATATTCATTTATGGAATAAGAAAAAATTTCCGTTAAAACGACCAATAAGGTTTTAATATCCTCATCCGCACCGCGGCATTTATTAGTCTTTGTTTATTTTTTTTTTAAAATTTCAGAATTTCATTTAATAACAATAAAATTTTGTCAAACGAATTTAAAAATTATTTAATTACAAAATAATCTACATTTCTAGTCTCTTATGTTAGAGATCCTCGCAAATAATAAAAGATTAAAGATGCCAATGTTTGTTATGTTTCAACATGAAACACCTATTAATGTATAATAATTGTAATATTATGTGCACGTTAATTTTGATAAACAAAGTGTTAGTCCATTTAGAGGTTTTTCCGAGTTGTGGCGTGTAGTAGACTTGGTAGAATAACCAGCTATTAAAAAAAAGAAAGATTTCCTTTGATTAAGTTTAGATAATCGCATTTAATCATAACGCGTCATTCACTTTTTATATGAACTGTTAAATAACTACACCATTGGCGTTATAAAAAGAATAAAACAATGCTTTATAATATGAATTAAGTAAACAAACATCAGTAGCAGCTTTTTTATATTTATATTTTTATTTTATTTCACCATTATTCTTTATTCCTTATTATATTTTCAACATCCATCACTTTATTCTTTATTTAGTTTATAATTCATTCACTTTATTTTTAATCCTTAAAATTCATTAAAAAGAAAGTTACGTCAATTATCTTAAATAACTATTGACCGCAAGGAAATTATTAACTATTGTTAAAACCATACTCATATCATTCATTAATATTGAGGAAAAGATTTCATATTAATAATACTTACAATAAAACATATACTTTTTAAAATTTAAAATCGGTAAAGGGAAAAGAATTGTAAAAAAGTCGAACAAACCATCAAGTGCTATTTTCTGTGTAAATTTCATTAAAAGAATTTATTTATAATTTGTTTGTGTTCTTTGTTCTTCATTTTATTACAAAAATGGGTCGAAATTGTAAGACCTGAAGCACTAGGTTATTTTTTGTCTACAAATAAAATAATTTAAGGTAGGGAATCTGATCTACATTACGTCTTAAGGTTAAATGACAAATCAATATACTTTGTTCTCCTTCCAAAATCGTGCTATTATAAAGATCCTATTGTTTTAATTTTTATTGTTGGGTGGACGCCTTTTAGGTTAGTAACCGTATAATCATTATTAAATAACAATGTATATTTATATATTAAGTTAGCTTTAAAATTTACTTATATTTTGATTATTTTGATTAATAAAAACAATAATAATAAATAAATAGATTATCGTTTATAAGATTGAGAGAAAAAAAAGCCAACAAAATTTTTAATCTTCAAAAAAAAAATATTTTATTTATAAATTTCGAAAGCTAGCTTTAAATTCAAAAAAAAAAAATTCTTTTAAGATCAATGCATGTTAATTAAACTTACATACATATTTGGTTTAAGGAAATAGGTAAAATATAGATAATATAATATACTGTACATAAGAAGGTTATAAAATAATGACGGAATAAAAATTTTTTAAACAATGGATCAAATTTTATCTATGAATAAATAGTCAACGAGTCAAAGAAAATTTTTTTTTCAAAAGATAGTTTGAACGAATGAAGAACCATTGAAGAATTCTTCGACCAATAAATGGTCGACATTGGCGAGATTACTGAAGTTATTGGTCACTTGTGTAGGTAGATTTGCAATTATATTCAATGTTTCATTGTTTGCGTTGAGCCGATGTCCATGATGAATGACTCTATGAGGTGGTGCACGTCGATTCTGTCTTTGATTAACGATTCTGGGAATTCGTGCGGGAATGATTATTCTTCTTTGATTATGTGGTCTTGAAATCGCCATTTTTTTTTTTTTTTTTAATCAAAAAAGAAATATGAGTCTTTATTTATATAAATGTGGCTCTTAAGATTTATAAACCGGTTTTTACACGGCCATTCATAAACATTACTGACGCTAACTAATTTTCATGTCATGTTAGCAATAACGATAACATTAAATCAGGATAATTTTAGTTAGCGCAACACATGCTTTTTTTTCAAGTTTATTTTTTTTAATGTCACAATTTTTTTAATCCCAGTTATCGAGTATTTGTATTACAGTTTTTGAATGCACGAGTTTTGTCACATTCAACCAATAAATATAAAAAATATGTTAACTCTTGCATTTTATATGTAACATTATATATTAATGACTCAAGGAGAGAAAGAAATATGCTTACAGTAGTTTTTGTAAAATCGGGACGTAAATTCTATCCTTTCATTTTGTGCTTAACATTCGATTAAATTTTATATGAACATGTTCGTATAAGAATTATGAGGGAAATGTCAAGGGGAGAGGTCAGAAATTTACGTCACATTTCGAAGGTTTATTCATTTGTAAATTTTTCATAATCACTGGGATAAACAACAAGTTTTTTTTTAGTATGTACAATGATCAAACATCATTTTAGGAGAATAAATAAGATAAATACTTAAAAAAATTCCAAATCAAAAATGGTAAATTAAATGTATTCATAAGTATTTAATACCTTTTAAAATTATTTGTTTATGTAACATTGCGACGTTGTGTAACGAAAATTCTGGGAACACCCGAAACCTGTACAGTTTCGGTTTAATAAAAAAAAAAAAATTAAATCACTTGCTTTTTATTTACTTTGATAATATCTTTTTTTTAATTAATTTAACTGTTATCTATCTACTTTATATTACAGAGAAAAAAAAAATTTTTTTTCTTTCTTTCGTTTTTTGAAACAATTTCTAACGAACAATAGAATCAAGCCTCTTTTGATGAATAAGAAAAGGTTCTCATTGAAGAAGAAGATTGCTAAACCAAAAAAAAAAATAACAATCTATATTTTATCACAACAAAGAAAACGGAGTATTATGCATTGTCGACTCCGAAAAAAATTCTAATTAGGAAATATATGAATGAAATTCAATCACTACTGAATCGTTCAGGAAGTAATATGGGCATTAGATGGATTTCATCTCCACTTAGTTACAAGCAATCAAGCAACCTAGATCATATCATTTATGCATTATATAAAAAAGTATTCAAGGCCTTACCAACTGAACCACGCATGCATAAAGATTTTTTAAATAAAAAACAAACCATAAATAATCAAAAAAAATTTTTTTTACCGTATTATGATTCAACGATAATGTGCATAAGAATGTTACCATAATGTGCTGTAACATATGATTAACCATGCAGGATGAAAGTAACTATATGATAATTATATGTGAAGATGCAGCTTCTGCATATGATTGTAGTAAAAAAATTTTAAAGTTCAACCAATTACGAGCTGAACGTTAACATGTATCATAGGTTCAATTTGAATGGCAAATTCATTTTACATTATAAATGTATTTACTATATAACATATGAGATATTCGTCACTCAATCATAAAGCTTTAGTAAAATAGATATGAATTTTATGAGAAATATTTTGAGATTTATAGGCATTTACTGACATAAAATTGATTTCCAAATTAGGATTACAATTACAAAGTGAAAACAGGACATGCGCAGAAAATATTTAAATTCCCAAAAGTAGAGGGCCAATTATTGATGCCACATGCCTGTGACATTGTTTGCTTGGTGTCAAAAAAAGTCAAGATCTTGATTAATATTATTTATGCATGTACTGCACGCCTTAATTTTCGGCTTGCATTAAGAACAAAAATTTTTATTGGATAAATTAACTGAGGAAATCATCCATTTATAAAATTCTGGATTTATGTGTGCATGAATCGGCAATAATCTGAATGTTGTTTCCAGATAAAGGCTCGTATTTATACTGATTTTAGCTTAGCGAAGATAAGATCAAAAAACATTGGATCAACATAAAATAGGTCTATAGTAAATTAGATAAAAATCGTAACAGCCAGAAATCGTCGGCTGATAATAAAAGGAAACATTTAAGAATATGTGCATGCTAATTTACGAGGTAATCGATCAATTAAAAAACTTTTCGTTAATCCGTTTAGAGACTTTTCCGTTTTATTAAATTTTTAACAAATTAGACTGTTTCGCGTAATAACGTTCGCTCGCAAGTACCATGTTTATATCTCATTTTTGCACGATAAATTGAATTGTCTATTGTCTATTTGTCGTAAATACATACATTTAGAAAAATTTTAAATTAAATAATTACGCGTCGTTTGATAATTTATCATTTCTTGTTCATATCATTTGTGAAATCACTTTGTTTAATCTTTTGTCCATATTAAAATAAAAACAAATTTCAAGATTATTCAATTACCACTGATCAATAGATTTCCTCAATTATCACGAAATGTATACGTTCGTATCATGTGATTTAATTTATATTCTTTGTTTAAAATTGTACAACATTACATTATGCGAAAGCCCCAACCCAAATATTTACACGCACGGTACTGGGAGAAAATTTTTTTTTTTTATTTAAGTGGATAAACAAACTAAAAAAATATGACAAAACTTCTCCCTTTCCAATGACAAATTTTGTCGTTGGAGAACTTCCTTAGCTAGTTCGCTAATCTTGGAGCAATACTTTCTTTATATTATTTTTTAACGAAGCAAAAAATTATTTATTTGACCTCGAAATCATTAATTTGATTTTGTACATTTTTTATCTTTTGAACGATAAAAAGAAAAGAAACGTTCATTTTTACCATTAATCTTTTTTTTTCTTTATGAAAAAATCAAATAATTTTAATTAAAATACATAATAAGTGATTTATTGCATTTCATTTAATAGATAAAAACTACATTATAAAAAATCACAAATCGCTTAACATTTTTATATTTTTAATAAACATTAAAGTTGATTACATTCAAAAATTCTATTCCTTTAACATAAAAATTACATAAATCTTTCACATATTAAGAATCACTCCCCTAAGAATAAGCTTAATTACATGATGAAAAAAATATAGATTTGCCGTCAAAAAAAAAATTCAAATTTTTCAAAAGAAGGTTTAAACGAATGAAGCTCCATTGAAGAATGCTTCTACCACAGTTTATTAGTTTAAGAAATTATTGAGATTATTGGTCATTTGTGTAGGTAGATTTGCGATTCTATTCAATGTGTCTTCATTATTGATGAGTTGAGCTCTTTGATGAATCCTACTTGCAACAACTCGCCGTTTTCGTTGGTTCCTTCTTTTTCAAGGATGATGATACTTGGAGATCGTGTAGAAGTGTTTAAAAGTCTTTTTTGACAACTTCTATTTCCTCGATTAATTTTTCTTTGAGGTGCAAAAATATTTGAATACATTTTAAAATGGTTTGATTTTATGATCAATAAAAAAATTTTTTCATCGTATTTATATAAAATTTAATTTTGTTATTTTTTTTTTTGTATTTTTTTTTTTCTCTTTTTTTTTTTTTTGTTTTAATATGAGCTTTAAATAGACATTCCCGATAATTGAAAAAATTTGATTGTTGGGGTCTCGCCCAAAATAGATTAGTAAGGAGATTAGTAAGGATGAACTCAACTAAAAAAAAAATAAAAAAGAGTATGTTTACGTTGAAAGATAAATGTACAACTACCTTTGCTTTTATATTGTCTTGAAAAGAGGTAACTATTACTAATCCCGATCTTGTATACATTTTTTTTTTTGTTTTACCTAATAGATATCTACAAAAGGAAAACTAAAAGTATTTGAAACGCCCATCAAATTAACGCCATACTAATACGATTTCAAAGGTTCAAGTAAGACATCAGAAATACAAGTTGCTTGTAGTTACAGGTCTTGGGGAGATTAGATTCTTTATAAAAAAGTTAACATGTGTAAAGTAATAAAAATAAATTTTGATTCTAATTTTATACAAAATTACATGATTATTATAAATTTTTTTTAATTATAAATTTGGGGGAAACCCATTTAAAAGATAATAAGATTATATTTCTATTTATTTACATTATAAAATCTAAACAAAATAGAATTGCAGTACTATGCCAAAAGTAGCAAACCTAAATATAAACGTATATAATAACTAATAGTAATGCTATTATCTTTAAATATTGCACCAATTCGACCCAGGTTATTGAGCCGAATTAAATTTTGATCGGGTCACGGTCAAGACCAACCCGTCGGGTGTGATTGACCCGGGTAATCGTATATTTTTTAATTTGTACTACATGAGAAATTTAAATTATGTAATTTGCTTTTAGGTTTCTATTTCTATCGCTAATATTGCTTGCTAACTACACCCTATCTATATTATTCCTACTCACACAGATCATATAGAAATTCTATTTAAGCTTATTCCAGATATTAGTAATTGCCTATAGTTGCCTGACGAAACTCCTGGGTTTAGACAGACCGTCGTGTCAAAACCTTAATAACATCATATAAACTAACCTGTCGAAACTGTCGAAACCCGTCGAAACCTGCCAAGCTATATCAAACAGTCGAAACTATATTATGGACTTATTAAAAACCTGTCGAAATTAGAGGTTTAGACGTTTCGACAAATCCAAAATAGGTTTCGTCAGGCAACTATATTTTCCGGTTTCGCTGAGGTAAAAAATTAGCGATGTAATATATCACATTCATACTTTCCGTTTTTCACAACATCCCACTCCGTCCCATTTTCGAAATATACTGCGATGTCGATGGTTAGAATCTCATAATGTCGATATATAACAAAGATAGATATTTTGAAACATCTTGTCCATTCTTTTCTTTCGTACTAAGAAAATTAGATAAGATTATATTTGACAATATGATCTGTCTTCGAGAGAAAACATATTTTTTTTTTTTATTATATCGATTAGCAGTTTGGATTTGATGCAAATTTAAGTTTGATAATCCAATAATCATTTAATTTTTGCTTTACTTGCATAAGAGGATAAAAGGATAATACCCTTTTATAATTTTAGTAAAATATAATTCTTGCTTGCTATTCTGGTAAGGAATAAGGTTTTAAAGTTAAATTAGAATTTATTTTTCGATGTATGAACCTATAATTATTAAACAATTTTAAAATAAGCAATATTATACTATAAATTATTTCAAATATTATATACGGTAGAATATTCATCGAAATTTGGTTCTCGGCTTAATATTATCCGTAAACTCGAGTTGTTCTGAGTTTAACTATAATCGGGTCGGGTCGAGTTCAGGTTATGTAAATGCTGACCCGAATATTTTTACAAATTGCACGCTCGAGATTTTACAAAACTCGACCCCGACCCTTTTGGAGCACTAATTACTCTCCAAATTTGATTGAATTATAATTGCTAAATTCAAATCTAAAAAAATTTAACATTAATACTTATTAGATTTCAAATGAAATTCTTTTAACAATAAGTAAAAATGCTTTTCAAAACTATATTTGGGTAAATTCTGTATTTTAAAAACAAATTATTTTTTTATAATAAAATTTTTATCTAAACTTATAATAAGTTTTTAAACTTAATAAAGCTTAATCAAATTTTAGATTTAAGAAAAAGCTTTAAAGGAATGTTACTAAATTATTAAGCTATACATTAAATACAAATTAAAAATTATGATTTTGGATTTGAATTTGTTAATAATTTGATTGATATATTAAAATATTTAATTTACAAAATATATATTAAATAGATACCCAATATAATAATTTGAAATTTATTTATTTTAATTGAATTAATCATTTTATATTTAAATTTTATAAGTTGATTAGGAACTGTTATTATTATTAAAACTGATAATATACTATATTAAATTGTTTATAATAATTTAAATTAATGCAATTTTAACAAACTTTAGAATAATTATAATATAATTTGATCTTTACACAAAAAAGAGTTATCTACCGATCTTAATTCAGGCCCGCATTATGGATTTTGAAATATACTAATGACAACAAATTGTTCAAATTATATCTTTGGCAATCTGTTACCTTACAATCTACCAAGCTTTATTTTTTTAAATGTATAACTAAAGAAATTCTTAAATACATTAAGGATAAGTTTATATGGTAAATTGATTATGAATCGGGACATTTTAAAACGTAATGGCAATTGATTAGTCACATTGTTACATGATATATTATATTTTTTTATTATCATATTTGATTACTGAGAGTTTCTTTTTTGATTTACGTGTGATAATCATAATACAAGTAAAACCAGCCCATCAAACAAAATATTATGTGTCATTTTTAATTGTTGCGTAAATTTACATTTATTTATGGAACAAGCCAAAAAAAAATTTGTCGTACGCAAACCAATAAAAATTTTCAATATAATTAATAATTAGCCAATAATAAAAGGTGCCTTGATGTTTGTTGAAAAATCGTATGATGAAAATGATGTATGTAAATAATGTTCACGTTATTTTTTGATAAACAATCAAATAAAGACGGTTGTTTGTTATGTGGTTCGTCCTCTTAGATGTTTTTCCGTTTTCCGTGTTGTTACATGCTTGAATACTAGAAATTAAAAAATAAAAAGTTAAATTAAATCATCTAAAGCAAAAGTTTTTTGTTTAAGTTGTGTCAATTGCATCTTAATTTGACTCATTAATTATGTTTTGAAAAATGGCAAAATAACTAAATGAAAAGTTAGCTCATCACCGGGCTTTAATGGTTACATTAAACAGAAATCTTCAACTCAAAAAGTAAGACATTAGAATACCTTTTGAACGGTTGAGGAGAAACAATTCAATTATTATATGGGAGGTTTGAAATTCAGGTAAACAGTTAAAAATCGCGTCACTAAAGGAATAAGCCGAACCTAAATTATCGTGTAATCATTAAAAAAACAGTCGGTTTATGATTTATAAAAATGGCACAATTTCTGAAAATCAGGATTAAATTTAACACTGATCAAATATACTTAGAGTACCCCTAAAAAGACAAATTTTTTTTTTTTTTATTGTATTGTCTTATTTATTGTTGGACCGAAAAAAAAAAATCGTATGATTTTTGTTTTTAACAATGATTATCCCCCTTAGCCAAATTATGACGTCTTTTGCAGTTAATTGATTATTTTTTAACCAATCGGAAAGATTTGAATTCAGTATCTCCATGAAAAAAAGATAGTTTCATTCAAATATACACTTCCCTTATAATAATCCCACTTTGAATAATCATTAATCGACGATTTAAAAAAAAAAAATTTTTTTCTCTTGGAACGGCTATCGCCTAAAATGGAAATTTACGTAATTATATACATTATAATTTATAATTCAGGCCAAAATTAAGACAATGATATAATATAATTTTTGTAACTATCTGTTTCACCACAGCCTTGAACAAAAAACTTTTTCTTTCCATACCTTTCCTTCGATAACGGGGTTTTTTTTTGTGAAAATAAATTTTCATCTTTTTTTTCAACCATTCCTTGGAACTGATGATAAAATCAAAGACTAATAATCATCAACGAGTCGGGAACTATGTTTCATTCATTCAGTTACTCGTTTAAGTAAGATAAAGAAAGGGGTTCCCGTCACTTTCATAGTTTTCCTTAATTGTTCTCTTGTTGTTCAAATATAATAATCTAATAAATCATTCTAAATCAACATATCAATTAACTATTTATGTCATTTAACAAAGCGATAAGCGGCGGTGTTATAATCAAAAGATTACTGATTATCCATTCCATTTGATAAAGAGGACAAAAAAACTGAAAAGAGACAGGAATAGAATAATCAGGGTTCTATAAAATACGGCGTTTCTATTAAATACATTTTATAGACTAGATCGTATCATTCATTTATCAAGAAGTGAAATCGGAGCAAGTAATCTTAAAATTTATACAGAGCGCACGAAATTAATTTTAAAATAGATCACGTGAATGTTTCACCTTTTTAGAGATTTTTTGTGATAAATAACTATTTGTGACAAATAATTATTGAAAAAAGTATATTAATTTGCTTAACCTGTTAAATAACAGGTTAATGTCATATTCTTTGTCCCACCTTAAATTTAAATGGTTTAATATAATACGAAACCTCTTTTGATTGATGTTGGTCAGTGCAGTTTCATGTTCAATTTAATTTTTGAATCAAATTAACTTTAATAAGAGAAATAAAATTCTGTATTGGAATGAAACTTGTGCGTGTACATAAATCCGAATATCATGTGGTAATAATCAAATGTCAACAAAATAATCACGTTGTTTTTTCAGTAAAGACTTACATAAAAAATATTTTTTAGAATAAATTTTGACTGGTCTTAGTTTAACGATGATAAATTGTTGGTTCAACATAAAATAGGTATACTGTACCTTAGTGTCGACTTTTTTATATCTTTTTGTTATCAATAAATTAAAACCCGTTAACAAACCTAAATCCCGCCAAATATAAATAATAAAAGCAAACATTATGAACTGTATGTATCATATCATGTGCACGCTTGTTTTAAGGTAATCGATCAATAAAGAAATCCACTTAGAGTTTTATCCGTTTTATCCGCAAAATTTATTAATTTTTTTTTAAAAAAAATGAGCATTGTTAAGTTTTTACTATTACACGTAAATTTATGTTTGCAAGGCAAAGAGTTATGATGGTAAATTGAATTAAATTAGTTAATTTGAATTATGGATTGTACTGGTATATATATCGGAAAATTTTAATTAAATAAAAGATAAGATAAACGACGCGTTTAAAATTACACATCTTTGTTCATATCATTTTTTTTTTTCGAATATTTTTTTCATTTTACCCTTTTCCTTTTATTTTGTTTTTTATGAATTTTTGTATTTTTTTTTTTTTTTGGAAAGTTTACTATTGCAAAACGTACATATTGCGAAAGAATGCTCCTCGTTTATAAAAATATCATTTCTATCATGTGATTTGGAGTTTTTATTCTTTGTTTAAAAATCAAAATTTATTTTGGTCGTACAAAAACTACATTACATTATACTTTAACCCATGGTCTTAAGACGAAGCATTTACTAGTTTACAAGGGTGATTGCAGTACATTTATTTTAAAGAAAAAAAGGAGAAAAAATAAAGAAGGAAAAAAAAAAACATCCGCATCTATATGCAATAATCTTATGATGACATGTGAAATTAGGATAAAAAAAAAAAAATTTTGAACAATCAAATATGAACATGAAACAAATAACTCCTCCGTTTAATAAAAACAGATCATCACCTAAACTATCCCGAAACGCTTTCGTCCGTCTCAACACATTTTTTTTTTTGAATCACTCGGAGCATACTTTATTTTATATATGGTATAACGAAGAAAATTTTATTTTTTGATAAATTACCCCGAAATCTCAAAATTTGAATAACGTATTCATATTTATTAATATATTGATCTTTGATTTTGCTTTGAAAACAAGAAAAAAAAAATTGTCCTAGTAATCACTTTTACCAATTACCATTTCTTCTAAATGAAAGGGTAATATTAAACCAATAATTAAGAGACTTCACCAAAAAAGAGATATGCTTGCACTTGCATTAATTACATCATAAAAAGTACAAATGAATGTGTACATTAAAGTTGATCACATTCAAAATAATAACTATCTTAATAAGCATAAAAACTTTCCCTAAAAATAAGCTTAATTTAACAAATACTGTCAAAAAAAAAATATATTCCAAGTTTCCAAGGGAAGATTTAAACAAATGAAGCACCATGGAAGAATTCTAAAATATTATAAAGATCATTGAGATTATTGAGATTATTGAGACCATTGATCATTTGAGTTGGTAAGTTGGAAATTCTATTCAATGTGTCTTCATTATTAATGAGTTGAGCTCTTTGATAAATCTTATTTGCAACAACTCTCTTTTTTCGTTGGTTCCTTCTACTTTCAATGATGCATTGAGATCGTGCAGAAGTATTTAAAGGTCTTTTTTGACAAATTCTGTTTCCTTGATTAAAATTTCTTTGAGGTGTAAAAATATTTGTAACCATTTTCAAATTAAGTTGTTTTTATGATACCGAAGAATAGTACCTTTGATTATATTTATAATGAACGAATTTATCATTATCATTGAATTCTTTATTCGTCTTTATTAAAAACTTTAAGAATTAATAAGCCTACAATAAATATTTTGAAATATCTGAAAGTTCTGTCATTTTTATTTTCTTTTTCAGTTTTCAATATGAACTTTATAAGCTATTCCCGGTCATTGAAAAAAAAAGATTGATCGGGGTCTCGCTCAGATTAGTTTAGTAAAGGAAGATAAAATCACACACAATCAACTTTCTTTTTTTTAAAAAAAAAAAAAAAAAAATTTAAGGAATGTATGTTGTGAAACTTAAGTACGTGTTTGTTATTTTTTTGTTATTGTCTTGGTTATATATACTTAACAAATTCAAATTGTACGGTATCCTTCTTTTACGTAAATCCGAAACCGACGGTGCTTTTACCCTTTTGGTAATTAGTGAATTTTGTATAGTATAAAAGAAAAACCAAAAGTAGTTAAGCGTCCAAGTAGGGTTCTAAATCATTCTGTAAATGAAAAAAAGTTTCTTTTGAAGTAATTTGTGAGAAATGTGTTCTTAAATACTTTACTTTTACTTTTACGGATTTTTATTTTATATATATATATATATTTTTTTGAATACGTTTTATAGATTTTAAAAAACTTCATAAATTTTTACTCGCCTGTTGAATTTGGATTTGTTATTCTCGTTTATCAATCCAGCATAATGAGAACGAGCGGTAAATGCCCCAAAAAATTTCGTTAAAAAAAAAATAATGACTAACAGCAATATTTTATGTTTAAATTATTTAAAAAAATATATATGATAAAATACACCAAATTAAAATTTATTATAAATTTACTTATAAAAAATATTTTAAAATTTTTATTTACTAAAGGGCTTTCTATAAATTAATGTGATATAATCATACTGTAATTTTAAACATTTTAAGTTATTTATAAAACATTTAAAATATCTAAATATTCTAAAATGCAAATATAATTATTAAAATATTTAAATAAAATTAAATTAAAATATATAGTAAAGGAGTAATTAATATGTAAATTATAAACTTAATACCAGACTTAAATTAGTTTCTAAACCTAATTTTTAAATCTAATACTAAATTTTTTTAAATCTAAACCTAACCTTTTCTATTTTTTGTTAATGTTATTAGTAAGAATTTTAAAAGTATTAGAAAAATAATATATTTAAAATTTTTTTTAAATAATTATTTAATGGATTTATTATATAATATTAAAAAAATTAGCAAATATTAATATATTAAAAGTTTATTAATATAATATAAAATAACTAAACTTTATAATTAATATAAATTTCATTTTTAATTTTTAATCTTTTTAATTTTCATTTTAATTTTAATTAATTAAGCCTAAATTTTAATCTTTCTAAATATAATTCTAATATTAAATAAAAATTTTATTATTATTTTACTTTATATTATTATAATTGAATTTAATATAAATCCTAAAAATCAAAATTCTGAAATCGATTTATTATATATAAGATTACTAAATGAAATTAATAGTTTAGACGGTTTGGAGGCAGTTAGTAAAAAAGGGAGAAATCCAAATTTTAGTCAAATTTATATTATTAGACTATTTGGCTAATCTCGATTATGTGTACAAATTTGGCTTAATAATAAAAATTAACAAAAATTTTGGATTTTTCCCTTTTCTATTACCCGCCTTCCAGTTGTTTAAATAGTAATGATAATTCTTGATTAAATTATATTAAAACCTTATTAAAAATCTGCAAAATTCCAAAAAGATAAAACTATATCAAAGCTTATAAAAATGGTGAAACTATAATAAATACTTAGTAAAAATTTAGTAAAACTAAAGTTTTAGGTATTTTACCAAATCAAAAATAAATTTACACAAGTAACCTTAATCATATAGATAATTTACAATAAAAAAACAAAAACTATTTTAAAAATAAAATGTGTTTGATTTAGGCAAATTTTTAGTATAAATATTACTAATTTAAAAAATATTTCACTAAAAAAAATCAAAAAAATCAACATATAAATTTCTTAATTATATTTAAAAATAGATAACTCTAATATAATGATTTTTTTTTGCAGTAAGAACTTTAATAAAATGATAAAAATTGTTTATTTGCTTTTTTTTAATATTTAGTTTTTAAAGTAAAAATTTATTTATATAAATTTGATATTTTAATTGCTATATTAAAGAACTGTAATGAAATCTAATTTTTTAAATAAGTAAATATCTGCATTATATTTTAATATAATGCATTTTAATTATCATTAAATATTACATTCATTTATCTATTATTCATTCTTCATTTTATTGTTTAACTCTTTATACAAAATAAATTTAGTTTAGTTTTAAACTTATCAAAAAGATTAATGATTAAGAAAACAATAGAAACAAAAGACTACTTCTCTTAAATATATTTTTATCATTTATTGTCTTGAAAATTATAATTGTAATCAAAAAATTTTTTTCATTTATCAAAATATGATATGAAAAATAATAATAAAATAAAGTTGTTATCTTAAGAAAATATAAATAAAAAAAATATATAATAATAATTAAAGATAATATTTTATTATTAAATTAATTTGTGTTATAATATAGCTAAAAAATATTTTTTAAATAGCTAATTCAAAAAAAAAGAAAAAACATTTTTTTTGAATACTTCTTAGATTTTAAATTATAATATTTTTTGTATTTTTTCCTTCCCATTTTTTATTATATTTTTTTCAAGTATTTTATAATTTCATTTAGCTTTTTCTTCTCTTTATTCAGTTTTAGCTTTTTTTCTATCACTATATTCTTTAGTAAGTAATTAACATTTTTTTAAGAAATTTTTTAAATTTTGGTAATTAAAATAAATTGTAATAATTATAATTTTTTTAAATCAAATATATTAACAATTAGTAATAAAAAAATGTATAAATAAATTATAAACAAGCTGTTTCTTTAATCCAAAGAAACTATTATTTAAGTTTAATTATAAAAACAATTAAAATCACAATCTATTTGTCTTATATATTCTAATACTCATTACTTATAACAAATTTTATTAGAAATCAGAAGCAATTTATTGGCAATAGAATATCACTGACTTCTAATAATTCATATTGATCTATCCTATTTACTTTTATAAATAAATTTAATATAATGAAAGATTTTTTAATATATATCTTAAGAAATTAAAAATTTATATATATTTTTTTAATAAGAAATTAGTTCATTTAAATTATTATGTTTTTATAAATAATATATTAGTTTTAAAAGAATTATATATTTGATTTGATATTAAAGATGAGAAACGAAACCCAAAAAAACTATTAATAAATAGCTGAAATTATATTAAAACATAGTGAGGAGTATGACGAAATCCTGAAATCTGAAATTAATCAAAACTATATTAAAAATATAGTAAGGAATATGACAAAATTATTTTGAGGGAGTTTTAGCGAGCATCTTTATTTGATATTCAAATATTTTATTTGATTCAATTAAATTTAAATCAAAAAATAATTTATTTAATTAAATTCAAATTAATCTTTGATTTAATTCATTTAATTCGATCAAATTTAAATCAAATATATTTTAATTCAATATTAAAACCATTTTCAAATTTTTAGTTTTTTTATTAAAAAATATATAGTAAAAATCTTTTATATTGCTGAAGACGTTTTTTACTAATGATTTTTTAGTAAAAAATGCTTTCACTGTTTATTTATATTTTTTTACTAAGAAAATAATGCCTTTATAACTTCAAAAATATTATTTTACTAAGAAAATATAGTAATAGCCAAATACTATATATTATATACAGATTATTCTATAATTAAAATATTTGTGTAATTCTAATTATTAAAGATATTATCACTGTAAATAATTTTTTTTACATGTTTCTATTTAAGTTATTTTACAATATCAAGTAAGTTTTTTATCGTCAGATTTTATAATCTTAGTAATCTTAAATTATAAAAGTATCTAAAATTCCTTGAAATCACTTTGCTTAACTTTATAAACTTAAAGGTTTATGGACTTAGAAAAAACTTAAAGAATTTATTTATTCTAAGTAACAAACTTAAAAGTAAGTTAGTATAATAGTTCACAATCAAATCCTAGACAATAGATACATAGAAGATAAAAGTAATTATATTTTAAAGTTAATTTTTTATTTATTATTTGAAACTCATAAGTATTATAAAACTTATAAGAGAATTAATTTATAACTTAAATAAAAACTATTCTATTTATATAAAATTAATTTGCTATAGCTAATTATTTGCTATAATATAAACTAATTTATTTGTAACTACAAGTATTAATATATAAGATATAATAAATATATTAAGTATAATAAATATAAGTAAGATAACAATTATAACAAATATAATAAAAATAACAAAAATAACAAAAATAATAGAAATAAGCAAAATCATGAATATCAGAATATAAGTTTATCAAGCAGATCTGCAGAATTAGAAAAATCTTAGGTTTTATTATTGATTATTTGATGCAATATTTGATAATCTTATTATATCATCATTCTATAGGTAATTAATAATTAGTGTTATAATGTTAATTTCTAACATTGATAATATATAACAAAAAATTTATTAATCTATACTTATATTAATTAAATATTAATTAACTATCATATTTTTACTTTTTAAGCAATAGGAAGAATAGAAGAACAATAAAGTTTATTTTTAAATAGTAAATATTTTTTTTTACATTGATATAAAATTTTACTTAAGAATAAGTTTTTTTAAGATCTTCTTAAAAGTAATGATACAATAAAAAATATTTTGTAAATATTTAGCATTTAAGTATAACTTGGCAAAAATAATAACTTAATTAAAGTAAGTAATATAGAATTTTCTTTAAATTATATCATTTTAGCTAATTTAATAATTATATAAAGTTTAAAAAATCTATAAAAATAATAGTAAAAAGTATATATTTATTAAT